CTTCATTTAAACCTGAATAGTAATATGAAAGTTGTGTTAATACTAAGACAACATCTGGATGACTGAATCCGGTTCTATCAGCTACAGCATCTTTTGCAAGAAATAGTACAGCCATTAAACGATTAAAACAAGAACTTGGGTTGACACCATAATTAACTCGATATCGGTTTGTAAAAGCAACTAATAAAACTTCTGATGATAATAAATCACGAATAATGAGAAATAATTGAAGATCAAGACGTGGAAATTTATGAACGAGATATTCAACTGATAAATGTGTTTCTAAAATAAATGATAATATAATTGGTTTATCTGCATAACGATAATTTCTACTATCGACCTAATCATTTGCAATGTTTTGACAAAGTAATGGAAAGAGCTCATGTGATTGTAAACAGAATTGTGGAAATGTACTTTTTCGTTTAGATGGTTTATAACAAACATTTTCATAGAAACATTTTGAAATATCGGCAGCATGTTTTTTACCGAATTCAAGAATTGTTTGAATAGTTTTCCAACGTTCTGCACCTCCATCAACTTGTTGTTGACCACCAACAGTATAAATCAATTGATATTTAACATGTAAAATTTCATCTAATACATCATGAACATATTTTTTTAACCATCGTTGAACTATTAACATAGAACGACCAATATCAAATTCATTTCTTCGACATTTATCAATAGTGAATAAATCAAATGAGAGAATATCTTCTGGTGAAGTCAATATAATATCACAATTCAATAATCCTTGTTGGACACGTTTAAAAATTTGATTTATTTGTACATATTGAAATTCATATCACGACGACATACATTCGCCCATATTCATTTGCATCACTATATTTCGTACTGTTGAATGTTCGATTTCCATATTTGGCTGTATCATATGTTGTGCTACTTTGATATGAATTTCTCGAATAGTTATATTCATTTCAAATTCCAAAATAAGTCAAGAAATATGTTCAAATGGTTTTCAATTTGAATGTGGTATATGTGATATTTCTTTTTTAAAGTCTTCCCATTTTTCATGAATTGCAAAATGGAGAATTTTTTCGAGCTGTTGTTCTAATGCCCAATTAACAACAATACCACCGAGTAATGTACATTGATCGTTAGTTAATAGAAATGATAAAGATTTTTCAACATATGAATTTTTTTCTCGAAGTATAGGTATAAGAGTTGTTGGTGGGATTCTTAAAATTAGACCTGTTTGAAATAATTGTTCATTGGATAATTCATTCCAGAGGATTGTAGTTGAATGATATTTTTAATTGAAGGATATCCTTTTTCATATTGACTGTCAGAAAGAAATTTGTTCCAACTTTGAGATAATTGATTTTTAAAATAATCAGTAATTTTCCTAAGAGCAGTCTTGTTTAGTGACAGAAGGAAAAATTTCTTGTGGA